GTTATAAAATAAATTTTAATAAATCTAATTAAGCATTAAATCTTTTCATAACATTAATTTATAATAGGAAAAAAAAATATTTATATAAATATATATATATGTATAAAGTAAATAAATGATAAAAATAGCTAGTACAATCAATACTGATAAACCCAATCAAGTTTGGACACTTCAATAACAAGTGTGAGATGCATGTTCATCACAGCTACTAACATTCTGGCAGTGACCGTGCCTGACAAATCTGCTCATTTTGTACACCTTGTTCTCTACGTGGTGGCTGTCGTCCGCATCTGTGTTCCGAGACGTCAATAAACTCGGCGACACGTGACGGCTGTTGCAAGGACCGAGCAGAAGCGGTTGCAGAGAACCTTTGCCGGACAAGACGTTTTGATTGCCCTTTCCAATGCAAGCGAGAGAACCTCCAGAGTACGGATGACAACTCCTAACGCCAAAGTTATCAAACTGACAGTGGAAGAAAAGAACTAGTGACAATGACAAAGGAGCAGAGTTTGCACCCACTAATAGGTGACTCTTGACATTTTTGGTGATGACACATCAAATGACAATGTCCACATCATAATCTCACTGATAACTTATTATTTAATTTTAAAATCACTGCTCAACTTTTTATGGCAACCAAAAAAAAATTGAAAGGGGAAAAAAACAAAACATTTAAAAATAAATTTAATCTGCTAAGTAATTCATGCTGCTGAAAGTCAACAAAGATTTATCCCGAAGTGGCTTAAAACATACATTCTGAGATGTAAACAAAGCAAGAAAATTTTAAAATTTCTTAAAATTTAACTAAAATTATTAATATTACGTGACAAATTAAAACTACATTCATATCCAATATCATTAAAAATGACGAGTTTTCCTTGAATTTTTTATATGACTGAAGGAAATATGAGAATTCATCCTCATTATGAACAACTCATTACTCCATTCCTCAACATGCTTCCCTTCAGTGCTTCCCTCTAGCGTCGATTTGCTTTCTTTTCAAAATTAACTAGAAAAAAATTATCTATAAAATCCAAATTAATCCTCAAATTACAAATTAAATACTAAATAGGATATATGTAAACAATTTCAAAATTTCTTCTACATCGTCCTCTTCAATTAGCAAGCGTCACAATATAAAATTTAAATTATGTACAGGAACCTAATTTATTACGAGGATTATTTAATTGTTAATATCTTATTATTAAGAATTAACCAAATTATTATTATTTGTGGCAACATTGATTAAATAATGTACGAGTATGTGCTGCCATCTAGCGTTTCATTCTCTTCATCGACATTAAAACAATTCTTATTTATGTATACATATAATTTTTTGTTTTTTTTTTTTTAATAAGAGAATTTTTGTTTATTATTTTTCAATTTAAAATTCTTAATTATGAAAAATATAATAATTTAGTATATTAATTGTTATTATGCAGTTTATAAGCGATCGCTTTGCATTGAATATAGCGCTCTAAGCGACGCGACGCGAAGTTGGCGTGTTTTAATATGAAACATAAAGTATGCACGTAAACAAATGAAATATTGATTTTAACCTTTGTGAAATCGCTTAAAATTGTTGATAATTAGGAAAAGTAAAAGGAAAATAGTTCATTAATAATAATATTTATCTTATTTTGGATTTATAAACGTAACGCGACGCGACATTCTCTCAAGCGATCGCGCGACGATAGATACAGAACACATTAAACGATTATCCATACAACTAATCTTTAATTATTGTGTTATTAGTTTAGAATAAAGCCTATTAACCAATTTTTCTAGGTTATAACACTTATTTTTCACATAATCCTTCTGGTAGATCTAATCATCTTTATGTTTTTTTATTACGATTTGCGGTTTCGATTGTTCGATTCTACCTTTAATTTTCTCTTATAATAGGATTAATTATTATCTGATCTTTTTTTTTTCTTTTCTTTGTAAGTCCATCTTCACAATATATCAATTAGAAGAATTGTTGCTTAGCCATTTAATACTCGTATCTAGAGTCATCTACGTAAAGAAACTACTTTTCAAATTAACAATTAGATATAGTTTTATTAAAGTAAGACTATAAACACACGAGCAATAATCGTTAAATCGGGGGATTTAGATTTTTAAGACGAATCTCTCTAACTACGGAATTTATGTCTTTTCTTTTTATCACTTCTTACGAAGATGAGTATCCATTCGGATTTTTTTCTTTCTTCCGTAATTTTCCTTCTGTTTTTTAAAAATTTTCATAAATTTCTGTGAAAAAAGTAACTAAATTTAATTATTTTTTATGTTTAGTTAACGAAAACCAGTTATCGAAGTGGCCCTCTAAATATCGATTTGTTGAGATTCTTGCTGAATTGCACACAAATGAATCCATGTTTGAGTGCAGTTTTTTTATATATTTTTTCTTTCTATTGAATTTATTCTTCAAAATATTGCTATCTAGATAGATTTAATAATGAAAAAGTATCATTTATTTTTTTATATATGGCTTCAATATATATTTTCGTCGTATTTTCAAGCATTAAACAGAGAAAATTTACTGTTTAACTGCTGTATTTTTAAGTTAAAAACAACACAAATTAAAGATTTTTCCGTGTTAAAATTACAAATTAGTGNTTGTAGTATTGTTAAAAAAAGAATCAAATTAATTTTTAAGATTAAATAAAAATGATGAAATAAGAATAGAAAAGAAAAATTTGTAATGAAAGAGAGAGAGAGGGAGAAATATTAAATTCAATATTGATTTCGTTTTGTAGATTTTTTACAAATATGCTACCCAGCAAGGCCAATTGTTACACTCTAGAAGTAAGTTTTTATGGTTACAGAAGTAAACAAGATCCTTCTAAAGCTGTGACGGCTTACACGGAAGATAGCTGTATCCTACAGTATTATATTGAACAGAAAATAATTTTGTTTTTTTCTTTCTATTTTTTTTATCTTCTGATTCTTGCCTTAATATTAAAAACAGATATTAAATTAGGTGAAAATATTGCTTGGGCCCTATTGGATTATTACGTTGCAACTGGTTATATATCAAGTGGGTCTGTTCCTCCGGGCATCAAAGTAGGTAAGAGAGGTCTGGTGGTGGAAAGTTCTCGTAAAGTGCTTAACCGAAAATAACACTTCCACTTTTGTGCACAGATTTGAACATAAGCTACCGCCATTCTCACTAACAATCTACCATATGAGAGGTTATAAAATACAAGCAATAAATTTGACACCATAAACTTCTATAAAATTGTAATTGCAAATGTTATTTGTGTCTCAATTAAACTTTATTGACAATTTTGAGAATTTTTTTTTATTGCAAACTCTCCATGAAAACTCTTTGTTGGGAACATATTTCGGATTGTATAAAATTTATTTGAATCTTATTTTTTTGGAAATCGATTGTCAATTTAATATTTTTATATTAACTTATTATATAAGTAATTTTATTTTATATATTAGATGATGCTATTTTATTATATGTCAACCAAATAAGCAATTTTTATAAAGATGACATTTTTGTCATTTATTGTTTTATAAATAATCTCACTTTGAAGAACAAAATGACAAAATGGATGTGCAAGGATACAGAACATGTTAACAAAATTTGAATATGAAACAAGTGGTATGTATAAATTATATTCTTTGAATGGAAATGTTCCATTTTGTTGCAAACTACTGTTGATTTATTCAAAGATTGATTCAAAAACTGTTACATGTTGACATTCTTTTGAAATGTTTCTTTCCTGCTTTGAAAAAAATAATAATAAAAATCTTTCCTGTGCATGAAGTTTATTCATTTATTTTCTTTTAAAATTGATAAATAATATAAAATAACTATAATGATTATTATTACTATACGATACAAGAAAATAAATAATTTTCTTTTAAAAAAAATATCATTACCGAGTGAAAATTTAATTGAAGAATAATCAGATTTGTATTAATAATGTAATTAAAAAAGATGAAAACATGAACATTTTAAATTGTATAATAAAAAGTATGACAGAAGGTAAATAAAACACTTTTGTAAATCTTTACAAGAATCTAAACATTGTTTTCTTTATTTAAATGAAATTTTTTTAATGATATGTTATAAAAAGTAATTCAAAATGTTTTAGATTTTTGATATTTTCATTTAAAATAATAAAATAATTAATATATTAATTATTTGTCTTTGAAAAATTTTAAAATATTTGATTCTTGTAAAATTGAGAAATTAAATTTTCTGTACTTTTTTTATAAATATATGAAAGGAAGCAAATTCTAAATGCATAAATGAACAGAACCAAATGTTAAATTGCATTATTAATTATTGATAAAAATTAATATAATAGATTATTATCTACTTATATATAATTATTAATTCATGAAAATTTATAATTGTTATGTGTATGTTTATAATCATATTTAAGTTGATTGATTTATAAGAATATATATATAAGTAATCTAATTAAGCAACTTAACTAATTAATTATGATTTGTTATACTCAATAAAGAACAAATATAATACGAATTAACCTCAATAATAAATTTATAAATGTTTTATATTAATAAAAAAAAATTGTTTTGATAACTTAATATGCTGAATAATAATGCCTAAAAAGTTCAAGTTTTCTGCAATAACTTTCCATGTAATTATTGATACGAGATAAAATTTATCCATAAATTTTATAAATATTAATAATAAAGTTATTAATTATGAAATGAATATCAAGTTTATATTCAATGTTAAAATTTAATAATTATATTAGTAATTATAATACATTAGTTCAATTTGTCAAAGGATGGCTGTACATTAGTGTGCAATATAATGCAAAAGTATGTTAAGTAATTCAGAAGAGAATTTATGTTGGTATATACATGCATTATAATTGTATTTTGCACTTTAACATGTAATTTTTTTAGTAAAATTGCAAGATTTATTAAAAAAAATAATAATAATAATTTTCTTAAATGGCATTATTTTGATACTAATTAAAAATATGTTATAGAAATTATTAACTTTGCATTTATTAATCTTTAAATAAAATCAATTTCAATACATTTTTACATGAAATACTTATTTGTTTAAATATACTTCTAAATATTATAAATGCCATTAACATGATACAAATAATTTATTAAATAAATGCCTAAAATTTAAACCTTACCTTCATAATTATTACATTTGACAGAAATTATTAATTTAATGGTGTATCCCATCTTGAAAATAGATACGGTTCTCATCTCTCCAAAGTATTCCGGGAATAAAAGGCAATGCAATATCACGTGTCATTAACTTTGAGGAATCCGCAATACTCGTTCATCAATAGTTTTAGCTAGAAAAGTTAAAGTTCTAAGCAAAATAATAGAAAAGTTTATCAACATTTTCTGATGAAACTTGGTATTTGATATATATATAAAAAATTTTTTTTTAATTTTAACTGTTTTTATATTGATCTCCAAACTACCCAAGAGTCTTTAGTTATAAAATACTACTGACCAAAGAAACATATTTTTATAATTATAATATATATAAAATAAATTAC